AGATGTTCGTGTACACGTGTATTAATTTACACATGTATAAAAAATGCATCTACCCGTGTATTACAATTACAAGTGTAAATAAAGTCCAGAAGTGTTTATAAAATGTATTTTTAATAATTTATAATATCGTTGTGTAATTCTGACGAAGGTACCTATACCGTATATTAATTTTTTTTATTGAGTTATTGTATATATTGTTATGGTCCAAAAATTGCCATTAATAGTTTTATTACATTTTTAAGCAAATTCGAAAGGAACAAAATTAACATTTCATAATGCTTTAGATGAATGATATTATTTCAAATTTTCCATCGTTACCGTTGTTATTGTTTGTAAATATCAAACACCGCATAAGTTAGATTAGTAAATAACGTATTTATGGATGCTTTATGTAGGTTGACATTGATCGAATATATTTTTTCACATCATATTTTTGCTAATAAGTACTGATTTAATAAAATGTTAAGAATCGCTAGTCTTATGTCTTGTACATTTGATACGTTTAAAAAAAATTTAACCTTATTACATTTTACATTTTGTACATTTGTAGGATCGAATGATATTCGGGTGGGTACGATGCATACGGAGAATACACAATGTATACACAATACAGACTGGTCTCCGACCGGATTCGTATGTACAGCAGTTGTTATATGCGTTGCTTTTTTTCGAGTCCTCGTATACGACTCGAACAATCAAAACCATCTTTAGATTAGGGGTGCGGTGCATCACTGCGAGTGCGTACGCATTCGTTTCACATTTTCGAAGTAACTGAGCAGTTTCGAGGATGGTAATAAAACCGATAGCTAAACAGGTTTAAACATCCCTATATGAGCCTCACGCATCAAGTATATGAATAAAAACGAAAATATTTTGTTTTGTTGAAAAACGTTGGCAACCGGTGTATAACCACCGTACCGTGTACTGCATAGAAGTGTCGTAGCCAAAAACTCTTAAAGAAGCCTGTTTTTGTCGATTGTATATATCTGACGATGTTATTTTGATTCAAAATCGGTCGTACTTCACAAATATTATAATAATCTATACTAAGCATTTATTTCTTTACATACCTACACATCAATTTCCATTTGTTTTCGTCCGTGCATTGGTGCGTTTGCCATTATAAAATGTTCACTTTAAAGGAATTCGATCTGGGTAGTTTTCAAGGATTTGAATATAGTCAATTCGTCACACGCGCCTTACCCCGATCTATATCCTTTTCTATTAAGCCATGTCGGGCTAATCTCCGTCCTGTTAATCACCGAATCACGGCGATGGTAGAATCAGTTTTATAATTGAAACTCTTATATCCACTACTTGTTATATTATTATTAATTGTTATATATTTAAGTATATATAAATATTTTTAACTCAAATTATAAATCATTATTTATTTGAACTGATAATAGACATTATTCATCGATAATAATATATATATTTATAATACGATAATAATTATTTTTATAATGCTTTTTATTTCATAATTGTGACGTTTAATTTTCGTTTTAAGGAGGAGAAGGGGTGGGTTGGCTCACCAAAAAAATACAACCAAAACTATCACTAGGTATCATATTCGACCACGAGTCGACCACTTGATTACCTACGTGGACCATATTTTTAATCAGCTTTTCATTGAAACGTTATTAATTATACAATTTTAACGTATAATATATTTGTACTTAGCAGCAATTATGATATAAGTCTTACATTGCAAAATTTACCTTATTAATTAATTTTGAATGAAATATGTTCTTGGGTTTGATTTTTTTTTTTTTTTGAGGCCATGAGGCTCATTATCTCAAAACACATCTAGTTTCACCTGTCTCTTATAAAATATATTATTAGAGAAAATTTAAAAATTAATTCTTGAATGCATAAAGATATAAATAATTAGTTTCTAATGTGATTTTAAGGTTAAACTTTTCTCGTTAATTCGGGTATATGTATTTTCATATTGAATGTTGATGGGTATCACGTTAGTAGAGTACCATTTAGAAGAATTCTGCATGTTAGTCGTTTATTAATTATCCAATGAATTAAGCAAAAGAAGTTGGATATATTTAACTTTTCTATAGCACTATTTAAATATTAAAATAATTGTTAATTAGTTATTAATATTTATTAAATTTTTATTTTCCGTAAAAAATTACTTGAAAATTGTTCCATATATCAATGAATTATTTTCTGATTTTAATTAAAAATATTTTAACTCGGCTATATATAAATATATATATTTTTTAATATAAATACCGATAGTTTATAGTTATACTTTGTTCTACTTAACTTTTAATGATTTATTATTGAAAAATTGCTCATCTTAATATATGTCTCAGTATAGTTAGGAATAATTAAATCCAAATATGACTTATTGAGACAAGAGTTGATTTTATATAAACAATTTTATTGAAGTGTCATCCATTAAAAATTACTTTAAATATGAATTTGATTTTACACAGAATTTTTTCGTTGACAACATTTTACTGTTATACCTATAGAATAAAAAAAATAACAATAAACCTTAGACATATGTATGAAATACGTTATGTTTATTTCAAAAATAGATATTAAATATTTTATTTGATCTTTTTCGGAACAGACAATAATCATATTACTTATTTGCTCCTGTAATTTATATGCTGAAAATATCTTAAGGTACTAATACATTTGTATATTTTACTCATAAAAAAAAACATAAATTTTCTGTACTACATAGATAGTTATTTCAATAATTATATAATATTGATTAATTGCTTACTTAATAATTAAGATGAAATTTTTGTGTAGTAAGATATTGGGTATCTCAAACCGATGTTATGCAGCTTACAAATAAAATGTGTATTATAGTTTCTGCCGGCATACTTATTAATTTAATTTTACTCCAGAAAATATGTTATGCTGATTAATATCAGTAAATAAATATTTTTTATGCAATTTTTTTTTCCAGCAATACATTAAACATACAATTGATCATTTAACGTTGAACAATCCTACAGCACAAATATATCTTGAGGCTGAAATATAAATTAATACTATAAAGATCAGATTTAAAATATTGACAGTTGAATGTATAATTTATAACTTATTAATTCATCAAAATTACATATTTTTTTAAAATTTAAAATAAACAAAAAGCAAGAATATTATAAATTATCTATCTTTAATTAAATCTCTATTATAAAAATATAGTTTTTAAAAATAATTATCAATTCTTTTGGACGTTATCCTAATTTTATCATGATATTTGGTATAATATTAAAATTGCAAAGTTTAGCATATTTGACAAATTTTAGACGGCTATTTTTTAAAAATATTTTCTTTGATAAATGGAATAAGTGTTAAAAAGTAAAAAGTGTGTGCATTAACTATGTTGCTCAATGTCTTCTCACTATTTGTGTTCCATAGATGGTATTCGTGATCAAAAGTTTCACTATTTACGTCACTGTCCTCATAATTGACATTGTAATTATTATTCATCCTGCCATGATACTTAAACTTATTCCCAAAATCTAAACTTTCATGCACCGGTATAATATCTCATAGATTTTCATTATTTATACTGTTAATTTAAAGATTCATAGATTTTGCTAGACTAGGGTTTCCAAATTATATTTTTCCGAACCCGGGACTTTTTGAATGGATAAATATTATACATATATAATATTATAAATACATATATTGTATATATATATATATATATATATCGCCATATGAAAGGAAAAAAAATATATTTAAATATATTTTTTTTAATAAATTATTTATAGAAGCAATATAATAATAATAATAATAATTATAATAATTCATATTCTTAATCTTCGGATCATTTGGGGTTTCTTCTGTTCATTTTACTAAATATTTAATTGATCTATAAACTTGTTTTAATAAAGACTTGTTTCCCAGATTTTGAACGTAGAATTCTTCATAAGATATTATGAAGGTATTATTGAATCACGTTTTTATAATAATCGTTTTTATATTTATTTATTATATTGAATTTTTCCATGTGCTGTTCATCAGTGCATTTGAACCTGACAAAACAAAAATAAATTCAACATTTTTTAATAGCTCAAAAAATGCATGATTGTTATCAGTGAATATTTTGAAAATATATATACATTTATTTTCTATTTTTTGTAAATGCCACTCATCATTTTGTTGATTATTTTTTTCAAACATTTTGAATTGTTTGAAAAACATTTATTCATTAAAATTAAGATTGTTTAATATTATAGCGTTTATACAGATTACTGATTTTTTAACATTTTTCCAATTTACTATTGTCTTTGAGGCTTATGTTATCCATAACATTGATTATAAATTAGTTACATGTTGATTTGAACTATTCCATTTTTTTAAATAGTTGTGACAAAGTACATAAAATTCATCACATTAACTTTCAAAATTAGTTCTATTGATAGTTCCTCGTCCTCAAGTTTTGTTACGAGATTTTTAATTTTTACCGTGAGAAACCGATCCTTTCTTTTGTTTTCAATTTTCGTGATATTTTATCGAGTAAAATTTTAAAACCAGGACAAATCGTTGTCCCGAAACACTTTCTTGGGACAACGGGACACTTGGTTAAAAACCAGTAATGTCCCGGTAAAATCGGGACGTATAGCAATCCTATGTTAGACTCACTTTTCACTTTAATTTCATTGACTACCTGCAAAATTGTCGATAAATTTAAATAAAATAAAATACCAAATTAACGGATATTGTGAACGGATTGCCAATCATCGTCATTATAAAGAATATTTTGCCGTTTATTATCAAATATTACGTTTAATCCATGTATAAGAATATCTAATCGCGTATAGGCCTACGAATCGAACAAATGTAAGTAAATCAATATAATGCTAAATGCGTGTTAAAATATTAAATTAACATTATTGCAAAAATGTTATTTTAGCATTATTGTAATTTCGTCTATATACGGAAAATCGTGAATATACTACAAATATGTAAATAAATGATTTATTTTATCACTTGTGTTTTCGACGCAGAAAACGACGTTCTGGACAAAGTACGCGAGAAACTCGTTCACATGGAAGCGGACGATCAGCAGCCGGTGAAGAGTGATTCCACCGGTCAAGGACTCCAGCAGCAGCAACAACAGCAGCAACAGCAGCAGCAACATCTTCATCATCACCACCATCACCATCATCAACAGCACTTGCATCACCACCATCATCTCCGACGACCGTCGAGGAACGAAGAGCCGAAGGACACCGCAGCGTCGCGCAAATGGAAAAACTCCAAGTCGGCGTTGTCGCGACGACCGTCTACTGAGTCCGAGTCGTCGGATCAATCGGAGGCTGTGCCGGAAATTCGGGTTAGTAAGTCCAGCGGCGAACCGGCCGTATTCGCGGGGTCGGAGATCACGGTCGCAGAAATCGTGAGGACTGCTCGCGGTCCAGTGTCGAGCGGAGGTGGTGCCGGTCACAAGTCCACCGAGCCTATCTGTGGCGGTGGTGACACGGACACCAGCGTTGGAGGTGGTACGGAACAGCCGGTCAAGCAGAGAGCCAGACTGAAGTTGGCCCAGATATTGTACAAGGAAGCGAGAAGGCGGAGGCAAAAGTATGTGGAGGAGCTTCAGAACCAACATGAATAACGGAGCCTTCTCTACCGGGCGGAAAACGATTGTTGACGGCGTGTGTAAAAAAAAAAAAAATTAATGAAAATAATCAATAATAATAATAATAAAACACTAAAACTATACGATTGCGTGATCATTTTGAAATCTATTTACGGCAGCTAATGTTATCGTTTTCGTGCGTCTCGATTTTCGATAAAGTTTGCGGGCACATCCCGCAATGGATAGGTTGAACAATTTTTGAGACCAGAGGAAATACTCTTCCACGGACCGTTACATCTATCAATTTAATAATATTGTAAACGATACATAATACCCCCAGGTTGATTACGAAGATTTGTTGATTGTCATGTCGCTTTCTAGGTCATTTGAAGTTATCAAGTTCTATATTTTTTTCCGCTCAAAATTGGATTTATTATTTATTTCTGGAAATTATTAAAAATATTTCGGTAAATATTTAACTTTTTCTTTCGTTATTTTTGGTACATTTTACTATTGATATTTTATAAGAATTATATTTTTGAATAATTTTTAATTTCATAAACATCATATCATGATATTTTTATTTTCTAAAAGTATGAAACAAACTATACTTTTATTTGCATAATAAGAATTAAGATATCAATTATTTATATATATATATATATTATATAAAAAGTAACTTGTGGAAGTCATCCAGTGATAATACTTACGATTTTATGATCTTAAAATATTTTCTTTTAAATTTATCTATAAAGTATTATTTAATACTTAACAACCACTTGGTTTGATGTTATATAGTATCTCGAAAATGTATTCGAATATTGAAAAATATCCTACGAGAATTTATATTATATTTATTAATTATCAAATAAAATTTATCAAATTTAAAATATCAACACATTAAAAATTTTATAATTTAACAAAAGTAACAAAATAAAAAGTTAGTTTTTAACTATTTTTATTAAAAATATTTAAATTAAATAAATATTATTTATTTATGCGAGTTGAAAAAATAAAAATAAACAGAAATTGATATTCTTTATTAACACTGGAGGCATCTTGCAAATCTTATCGAATCTTGAGAGGTTTTCTTTATAGATTAATATATTATATAGATGTATAATAACATGATTATATATCCATCTGTCAATTCATTTCTTACACGCCGTTATATTAGTAATAATATAGTATTAATAATATTGTAACTAAAAATAAAATACTACCTACCTATATGTTAAAAAAATACTAAATAGTTAAATATTCATTCACATTAGATTGTTTATTTCAATTTGTATTTATTATTATGGATTTTTGAAAAATTAATTTAATAAATAATTAAACTATAATAATAATTTAGCTATGAATACTTCAGTAAACTGGTAGTACTAATTTTGTTAATTTATATTTTATTAGCGTTCTTCCACGTTTAAGTTTAAATAATTAAATTATATCCACGTTTTTACTGTTTTACTAAATTATTGAAAATATATTATGAATACTATCATATTAAGTTATTTATTACGTGTAATGGTCATAAATATTGAAAACAATTATCAGTTAATTAATTTTTTAAGAGTATAAACAATTAAACACAAATTCTTATAAAATTTGAATTGTAATTTGCATTAATTGTGTTTTACTTTCTAATCGTTACCATCGTCCACCTTCTTTTTATCCTTTTTAACTCTCTGTTTTAGTGATTATAATAAAAATCTTAATGTAAAAGGACTGATCCTATTTATATAACTAACTATACTTTTATAGTTTCAAAATAATTTCGATCATAAATAAATAAAATATTAAAACCTTTATCTTCTATAATTATTAAATTAATTAAAAGTTTTATCAGGTACACTTGATAAATTAACATTATTTATTTTATAAGCACCAAAGAAGAAAATGATACAGAACGGAAATGAAAAGAAGAAATCAATAACAAAGAAGAGTGAAAAAGATTGTACCGAATTTTTAACTACACGATTGCGTACGAAGTTTTAAGCGTTGATGCTAATTTTCATACTGGCTGGTATTGGTGTTAACTACATAACTATACAAGTTAACTTGAAAAAGTATATATACTTACTATGCTTAGTGATTTATAGCTTTTATTAGCTTTGTTTATTGTTAATGATATAAAAGATATCGATGTTCACTTCAAAACTTAAAAGAACCTAAAGTAATATATATATTATTTTATTATTTTATATTTTATAGAACCTATAACAATTCGTATAATCCTTAGAGCAAATCAAATTGAAATTAACAATTATATTTTTACATTTTACTGCATAAAACGTTATTCGATATGCACTTCTCCCAATCGGTTAGTATTTTATACAAATTTATAGTAAAACTTATACTTAAAACAGTTGATATTTTTATTTATTATTTTTTTTTTTTTTTTTTTTTTTAGTACAAATATTAGAAGCATAATCCAGGAGGAAGATTATAATAATAAAAGGGAATTTTATACACGCAAAAATTCTAAAATGAACAACAATATAGATATAGTTCATAGATTACTTGTTTTACATGATCCAATTGTATCAAATTCATAGAAATCTCATCCCAAACTTGAAATTAAAATAAACGATAATGTTAAATATTCTATATTCTACATATAATGATATGTTTTCTGTCGAATTTAGGAATATTAAAGTAAATTACTGTAGCCAGTCATTTAATTTTATAACTATCAATGGATTTTTAAAATGTATGTTAACTATAAATATTTGAAATTGGCATCCCCTTAAAAAGTGTATATAATGATGTAAAAATTAGATTTAGCACCCGACACATCCATTGGGTATGGTTCATTTCAGATTTTTAAGAAATAAAATGTAAATATTATTAATTTATGCAAGCTCAAATGACGACTCAGACTGTGATGCAAACGAACACGATTAGTTTTCAATTGAATTTTTTTAGCAAGTATTATTTATTTTTTTAATTTCGCGCGCAGACCTCCTCGGCGATCTAGCAGCCTTTTGGGCATCGCGAACTAAATATAGTCCAAAGGGACTCGGTGTGAAAATAATGTAAAGCCGAAGGAAATAATGCCACGGACATTGTAGACATCCGAACAACGCGAAACCATTTCCGCTGATAGTGAAAAATAATAAATAAACGCGAGCGGGCCCAGGAAGAAAAATGTATTTTATCGTTTAATTTACTGTAGATATTGATAAAATGTTTTAAACGAGTTATATAATCAAACAGAATTTATCGTGTTAATTGAATGCGTTAAATCGGTTGGTCTTTCTGTTTTATAAATCGTTACGAAAATTTTTTTTCAAAATGAAATTGACGCGTTTGAACGAGACATGACGCAGGCGGTCCATCCGTGATTGAATTGCTGACCGCCGGTGGAAACCGTCATTGTTTTTCGTTTATTTAATTTCTTTTCAATACTATCGCGACACGCGACATAATCATTAACACGCCTATAGCGACCGGAAAATGTGTTTGTTTCATTATCCGTTGACAACGGGATCAGGTCCGACGAGACCGTTGTCGCAAACATTTGCACTTTATACAAGGCGCTGGAAAATAAGAGAAGAAATATTATATTTCATAATATATAATAATAGTATTGTTACATTCATCGTTCATATATATATTACCATACCATAAACATCTGGTTAATTTTCTCATTTTTCTTCTCAAAGAAAATTTTTTTTCTTTAAGTTGTTTCTTCTTAATTTTAAAAATAAAACTAACAAAATAATAAAAACGAGGAGACCAGCTAATGATGATTATTAAGTCTCAATTTGACTAAAAATAAAATTGACAGTTCTTCAATCATGAGTCAGTGACTGAGTTCGGCTAACGATTATAATTAATATCCGTTACGATTAAATAATACCAAGAAAGATGTGAAGTTCCATTACCGGACGAAGAGAGTTACTGTTGCCAGATAAAATTCTGACTTACCAATTGGTCTGCTCTCAAGGTAAAACCCTTTGAAAATTTTAAATCTACGTCCACGGAATAAAAGCGTTGTAGTAAGCCCGTTGACATCTATGTCGTTTTCCGACTCGCCGCCACATACACTGTCCTCGCACACCGCATCCGGCACACCCATTGAGGTACGTGTGCGATTTGGACTTATTTATTTATTTGGAATTATTTTTGAAACCTACGAACAATAATTTTTACTCACAATAATTTGGACACGATTTTTTTTTTTTTTTATATAAATAACTATTTTAATTATTAAATATTAACTATTTTTTTTTATATAAATAATTGTTTCGACTTTGAAACTTAGAAAAATTTTAAAAGACAATAATTTGGACTTTTTTTTTCATAAATAATAGTTTTGACTTTGAAATTTTTTCAAAATAATTATTTAAACTTAGAAATATTTATACACATGATAATTTAGACTTGGAATTTTTTTTTTTTTTTTATAAATAGTTTTGATTTTGAATAATTTTTACATATTATTTGAACTTATTAAAAAACTTAACTATTTTAACTATTTTAAAAAAATAATGATATGAACCTACTTTAAATTAAAACTGTTTTGTAATATTACTGTTACCTTGGTTATTTAATAAATAATTTTCTATAAAATTATTTTGTTATTTGCAGACACATTAGTCAGTTATCGAGATTAGCGACGAAGAAAAAATTGCAGGGGGTCTCGACCAACTTGGGCCGTCTTCTACGTATCCACCCGAGGATCAATTTGATAAAATATGTACCTTATAACAATATATTGCAACTCATTTAATGAACTCTATACAATTTTTCTTAAATAATTTTTCTTAAAACTTTTCGAACATACTTCGATTTCATAAATGATTATGTACGTGCAGGTACGGTTTTATTGTGAAATTAATTTCCAAATCGAATGCTACTTTTTTTTTTATGTCAATTGAATTTTTTTCATACAAAGCCAAAGTTTATATTTTATATTTTTATTTTCCTTTTCTCTCAATTAAATTGATTTTTAAGCAGGCAGCAACAGCGGCATTGAGACCATCCCTTTGACCAGGATTTGACCAGGGCAAATTTTATAGTACTGTTAAATCAGTCAAATTCTATTTTAATAATTTTTCTATACTTGATCATCTGGATATATGTCTGAAATTTATTAATCTATCTTCATATTATATTATAAAAATTAATTATTTTTAATATTTTTATAGAGAATGTATTTTAAAGGCTTGACGACTACAGAGATCGTAAAGATTGTTATGGCAACGAAGAATTAAAAAAATTAAATTGTAAAAATTTTAATTAAAATTATTTTAAAGTTTTTTTCATGTTTAACCGTGTTTTTTTTAACGCATTAACAGAAAACAATTACTGAATATTTTTCATTTTATATATTAATATTTAATTTGATACATATTCTAATAAGTTGTTAATATGATAATTTATCTTTTTGACTTTACACGGATGTACTCGTGTATAAAAGCTATATTACAACTCA